AGTGGAAGCAGAAGTTCGAGGAGTCGCAGACGGAGCTGGAGGCGTCGCAGAAGGAGGCCAGGTCCCTCAGCACCGAGCTCTTCAAGCTGAAGAACGCCTACGAGGAGTCGCTGGAGCACCTGGAGACCTTCAAGAGGGAGAACAAGAACCTCCAAGGTGAGAGCGGGGGCCTCCCCTCCGCCCGCCGCGTCGCGCTCCGGCCCCCCCGCCGCGTCGCGCTCCGGCCCCCTCCCCGCGTGACCTGGTGGGATCTCCCCCGGGTAGAGGAGATCTCGGACCTGACGGAGCAGCTGGGCGCCAGCCACAAGACCATCCACGAGCTGGAGAAGGCGCGGAAGCAGCTGGACGCCGAGAAGCTGGAGCTTCAAGCCGCGCTGGAAGAGGCTGAGGTGAGGCGAGGCGCGGCACCCGCGGTCTCACGGTCCCCGCCGTGGTCCTCAACGTCCACTCCATGGTCCTCAAGGTCCTCTCCATGGTCCTTGAGGTCCACTCCATGGTCCTCAACATCCTCTCCATGGTCCTCAACGTCCACTCCATGGTCCTCACTGTCCACTCCATGGTCCTTTTTCAACGTCCACTCCATGGTCCTCAATGTCCACTCCATGGTCCTCAATGTCCACTCCATGGTCCTCAATGTCCACTCCATGGTCCTCAATGTCCACTCCATGGTCCTCAATGTCCACTCCATGGTCCTCAATGTCCACTCCATGGTCCTCAATGTCCACTCCATGGTCCTCAATGTCCACTCCATGGTCCTCAATGTCCACTCCATGGTCCTCAATGTCCACTCCATGGTCTTCAACGTCCTCTCCATGGTCCTCGAGGTCCCCTCCGTGGTCCCCAATGCCCCCTCTGTGGTCCTCAACGTCCCCGCCGTGGTCCTCAACGTCCCTTCTGTCATCCTCAACGTCCCCACCGTGGTCCTCACATCCCTCCCTGGTCCTCAACGTCCCCGCCGTGGTCCCCAAGGTCCTCACCGTGCCCCTCAAGGTCCCCTCCGTGGTCTCCAATGTCCCCGCCACGGTCCTCAACGTCTCCCCTGTGGTCCTCAATGTCCTCTCCGTGGTCCTCATGTCCCTCCCTGGTCCTCAAGGTCCCCACCATGGTCCTCAACATCCTCGCCGTGGTCCCCAAGGTCCCTTCCGTGGTCCCCAATGTCCCCACCGTGGTCCTCAACATCCCCCCTGTGGTCCTCACGTCCCTCCGTGGTCCTCATGTCCCTCCCTGGTCCTCAACATCCTCGCCGTGGTCCTCAGTGTCCCCCCTGTGGTCCCCAATGTCCTCTCCATGGTCCTCAACGTCCTCTCCGTGGTCCTCACATCCCTCCCTGGTCCTCATGTCCCTCCTTGGTCCTCAAGGTCTCCGCTGTGGTCCTCAAGGTCCTCTCTGTGGTCCTCAAGGTCCTCTCCATGGCCCTCAAGGTCCCCTCCGTGGTCCTCAACATCTTCTCTGTGGTCCTCATGTCCCTCCCTGGTCCTCAAGGTCCCCGCTGTGGTCCTCAATGTCCCTTCCGTGGTCCCCAATGTCCCCGCCGTGGTCCTCAAGGTCCCCGCTGTCCCCACCAGGCCTCTCTGGAGCACGAGGAGGGGAAGATCTTGAGGGCCCAGCTGGAGTTCAACCAGGTCAAGGCGGACTACGAGCGCAAGCTGGCCGAGAAGGACGAGGAGGCGGAGCAGGCCAAGCGCAACCACCTGCGGGTGGTGGAGTCGCTGCAGACCTCGCTGGACGCCGAGACCCGCAGCCGCAACGAGGCCCTGCGGCTGAAGAAGAAGATGGAGGGCGACCTCAACGAGATGGAGATCCAGCTCGGCCACGCCAACCGCGTGGCCGCCGAGGCCCAGGCCCACCTGAAGGCAGCCCAGGCTCACCTCAAGGTGGGATCGCCCCGCGAGGAGGAGGAGGAGGAGGAGGAGGAAGAGGTCCTCCCCGCCCGGCGGAGCCGCCGGCTGAGCTCCGTCCCGCTTGTCCCACCCAGGACACCCAACTGCAGCTGGATGACGTGGTGAGGGCTAACGAAGACCTGAAGGAGAACATCGCCATCGTGGAGAGGAGGAACAACCTCCTGCAGTCGGAGCTGGAGGAGCTCCGGGCGGTGGTGGAGCAGACCGAGAGGGCACGGAAGGTGGCCGAGCAGGAGCTGATCGAGGCCAGCGAGAGGGTCCAGCTCCTCCATTCCCAGGTGAGACCTCACGGACCTCCAAGGGGTGAGGACATCTCCGCCCAGGGACGCGCAATCCCTGGAGAAACCACGGCTGCGGG